CCCCATTGCTGCCAGCCCCCCCCCAGTGTGGGGCTGGGCGGGGGGAGGTCGCTCCCACTTTGGGGTGCAGCTATGGGGTGTGGGGCAAACTCGGGTTCCCTCTGCAGCCTGGGGTGCGAGAAATTGTGTGTGGGGGGGGCTGGGTTCACAGGGGGTGGGGGGTGTCCTGCCTGTCCCCCTGCCCGCCCCCTTGCCCGCTGACGGGGGGTCTCTCTGCTGCCTTTCAGCTCGTGCAGCCCCCGAGGGGCCGGTGGCCCCAAACGGTTACTGTGATTTCTGTCTAGGCGGCGCGAAGAAAACCGGCTGCCCTGAGGAGCTCATCTCCTGCGCCGACTGCGGACGTGCCGGTACCCCCGCGCGCCCCAACACGCTCCCCAATGTGCCCCAACGCACCCCAACACGCTCCCACACGCTCCAACATGCTCCAACACACCCCCCGACACACTCCCACACGTTCAAACATCCTCCCACATGCTTGAACATGCTTCCCAACACGCTCCCCCACACTCCCATACGCTCAAACATGCTTGAACATGCTCCCACATGCTTGAACACCCTCCCCAATGCTCCCACACACTCCCCAACACACTCCCACATGCTTGAACATGCTCCCCAACACACCCCAACACCGTCCTACATGCTCAAACACACTTGAACACACTCAAACACACTCCCTGACACGCTCCCACATGCTCAAACACGCTCCCGCACACTTGAACACACTCCCCAACACTCCCACATGCTCCCCAACATGCTCCCACACGCTTGAACACGCTCCCCAACATACAGCTGCACACTCAAACATGCTGCCCCATGCTTGAACACAGTCAAACATGCTCCCCAACATGCTCCCACATGCTTGAATATGCACCCCAACACACTCCCACATGCTCACACTCCCCAACACGCCCCAACACGCTCCCACACTTGAACATGCTCCCACATGCTTGAACATGCATGCTTGAATGCACTCCCCAACACGCTTCTGCACGCTCATACATGCTCAAAACCACACTTGGGTCCCTTCATGCATGCTAACATGCACTTGTGCATGCTCACAGATGCTTGTGCATGCTTGCACATGCTGACATGCACTTGTGCATGCTTAGAAACCACACTCAGGCATGCTCATGCAACCTTGCCCACAAGTGTGCATGCTCAGATGGTCACACATGCTTGTACACACACACGCTCATGCGTGCTCACACACGCACGCTTGCACATGCTCATGTATGCTCACATGCACTTGTGCACTCACACGATCATATGTGCTCACTCATGCACGTCACTTCTACATGCTCACACACATGCATGCTTATGCAGACTCACACATGCACACGTGCTTGTACATGCTCAAACACTCACGCATTAACACACACTCATGCACACACTTGTGCGGGCTCACACATGCTTGTGCATGCTCTTGCACGCTACCCCACACCTGCACATGCTCACACATGTTCACGTGCAGTCATGTGTGCTGAAAAAACCCACACTTGTGCATGCTCACATGCTCATGCAAGCTTGCAAGTGCTCACCTATGCTCACACGCCTGTGCACACTCCCATGTCTCCTCCAGCCCCC